GAGAGGAAAAAAAAAAAAAAAAAAAAAAAAAAAAAAAAAAAAAAAAAAAAAAAGCAGGTTGACTTCATTGGTCATCGCAACTATCAAACTTACCGGTTTCCCAAACTCCAATTCCGAAAAGAATTTATACCAAGGTTCATTCTTTAAATCTATCTCTTCTGGGCTTATATCCCGAGTCTAAAGGAGTTGGTGATAGGGGAATGGAAGAAAGAGAAGGATAACATTATGCAAAGAATAAACGGAAAGGGACTGTTAGAGATGCAGATCCCATGGTTTCCATTCTAAAATGTAGATATTTAGCCTTATAATTTGGAATTCCTATAGCACCTCTCTCACAAAGGCCATGAACTGCTTTGTAAACATCAGTTAAGCCTAATGGCATCATTGTGAGCAACATGAATATGAATGAATTGCATTTTACAGATCAGGAGACCCACACAGAGAGAGATTATGCAGCTTGCCCAGAGTCACAGGGAGACTTAATGGAAGAGCTCGGAGTCAACCAGTCCCTCAGTCCTACTGTCAGACACTTCCACCGAGTCCAAAGCTGCATGTACTTTAAAAATTTCTTTTCATCTTCATTTGGTTAAAAAAGAGAGATTCAGTGAGACCTGAACCAAACACTGCATCTTTAACAGCACATGAATATGTGAGAAACCCTGTTCTACACACTGCAAACAGAGTGAAAGGTGGTTTTCTAAATCAAAGGAGACACAAGTCAGAGAGAGCGCGTTCCTGAAAGACCTCTGAAGGGATGAACAGAGAGACAATATTACCTGTTTCTTCACAAATAAATGTTAGAGAATCAGACAAAACTACAACAAAGGAAAATCGGACAGGACAGAAAACAGTACAGTTCAAAAGAAAATTCCCTTTTGTTCACACAATCTGTTTTAACGAAACAAAAAAAGTTGAAACAGTTGTAGCTGTTTAACAACACTACAGGTGAGATAAGAGAATAAAGTCCATTGCTGAGGGTTATGAGGTGCCACTCCCCAAAAGACATGTAGTTAACTCTTGCATTTCAGTGTACCTAGCCTTAGACATAATGGATCTTAGTGCATTAAAAATATAAATACATTATGTCTGATATGCCAGCGCGATCCCAAGTGCTCCGTCACAGCAAGCCATGAGCCACACATGCACAGAGGGCCAACACAAGGTATCCTGATGCAAATTGTCCTGTGATGGGGTTACTGAGGCAGGGGGGAGTTCCCAACAGTGTGGGGCTTTGCTAGATGTCCCAGACTCTGCCACAAGTCATTAGGCTTCACAAAAAAAGCTCTAGGACAAGAGCTCAGGACTGATGCTGAAAGAGGGGCAACGCTTCAATCTGAAAGACAAATGGCTACATTGTGTTTGATCTCCGATGGCCTGGATGAAGATTTGGCTATTTCTTAAAGGCAAAATAGAAGCAACACCTCAATTTTTTTCTTTATTGCACTCCAACTGAAAGTACTCATCTTGTTATACAACTGCCTTTACATAAAACAAAAAGGCCGCTGACGTCAATGGGAGGCTCTTCATTGCTCTGAAGTGGTTTTGGATTGGGATTCTGATAGTCACAGCTCTGGGTGTGATTACCAGGAGATAATCTACAAACCTCCTGTGGCCTCCTTGAAAGATCTAGTCACTAACCACTGTATTACTGTTGTATTTAATGAGACTGATGGAGACCATGAAGGCACTATTTCAAGACCTACTTTCTTCTGTGATCTATGGCTTGAAATTAAAGCTCAAAAAATAACATTGGAAGTAACACAGCTATCACATTCTTCTTGTCTTTGATGCGATCTGTACAATTTTTCTCAGTTATGCTGATGATGGTCCTGCTTGTGGCTTTTAGACTTCGATTCAACAGCTCAATTAAGTACTTGATGAAGTCCGAACATGTAAACAGTGCCACTGGTGATGTCAGACCTTTCGCAAAGGCTTAAGTACACAGATGAAGCAGGCCTTTTGCCACAAGGTTTAATCTTAGCTGTTTACCATGACACAAAATTGCCACTGAAGTCATCAGAAATCTTGCTCCGGGACGGACTGCAGGAATGGAGTTGTCATACCATGTTCAAACGACTCCTCACTGGCACTTCTCTAATGGGCTGAGCCAACACCCAGTAGGATCAAGAGAGAGTCATCCATCGCCCATTTCAATAGGCACTAGGATCATGCTCCTATCAGGAGCAACTTCGTTGAAGTCAGTGAAGGGACACGGGTGTGAAAAGAAGTTGGTTGCAGGATCTTCAAAAAGTGATGGAACTTGATTGCACTTGGAAGGAAAAAAACCCCACCAAAATACCGAGGAGAAACATCAGGTCCCAGATCAGACTTGATTCTTACATTTCTATCGATTTAAATTTTGGTTCACTTGTGTTTCAGCGTAAAATCCTTGGTAGGTTTTTCAAAACCATTCCTTTACCTACTCCATGCGTGGATCAATGCCTGAGCTGTTAAGGCAGAGTCCAGTTTACATTTGGAATCTCACATCCAACTAGCACTTCCAATTGAATCCTTCAATTTAACGTCTATATAGAACAGTTATATCTTTAAGTACCAAACTGGCTATTCACTAATAACCTCATTCAGTATTTTCTAGTACTTAATGTCACACTTGTACCACTGAAGGACACCTTAAGTGAGCTGTGGTGATTTATGCAGGAGTGGCTGACGAGGTTAGCACCACCTCTCTGCCCTGCCCCTTGCCAAGTGTTCTCAGCCAAGCCTGCGGAATGAGACTTTTGTATGTCCCCTAGCTGTCACAATTCACAGCATTACCTACTAATTCAAACTGAAATTGGTAACAGCTCACTTAATACTCCAGGTTACACACTGGTGTAGCTGGGGAGCCAGCCCACATTCAGTTCTGCTACCCCTGCCACAGAAGTGAGATCCAGCTGAGGAAGAAAGCAGCCCAGGGGAGGTGGCCATACCCTAATGCACCTCAGAGGCATCCCCTGAGGCACATTACAGGCACTCTAAAAATCAGTCATTTGGTTTAGCATCAGAGGAACATAGAAAATGAACCAGCCTGCTTTGTTGTATAATGCCTTCAACCCTCCTGCATCAACTAATGCTGTGCCCTAGAAAAAGTACAGCTGGCAAAACAGCTGCTGAACAGGTCACAGTGTCAAACATGGATTAAAAACTAGGGTTAGTGATCCATACTTAACACAGAAAACAACACGTCCAAAAGGAAAGAAGCCTCTCAGTCCCCCAGATCTTGCTTTATAGAGAACAAAAATGTTAGGAAGTTATGCAAAACAGTTTTCAAAACAAAATATACAGGAAATACATCACATGAGCACTGCAATGTAAGCATAAAGAATTCTATCAGAATGGAACTGGACAAGCACTTGGGGAGTATTTTACAATTGCAGGATAAAGCCACAAACTAGGATAAAACAAACATTACCATCTTTTCATTGTTCAGAACCGAGGACTTCCCTGGCTGATAGTCATAAATGCTCCTGGGCTCTGCACGGTATTTTCTGGTGTCCACCTTCTTGTCTGGAGGCTCCCAGTCAGTCCTGAGGAAAGAAACATCAATTAACCCAAAACACTGTGGTTTCCGTGGAGACAAGCACTTCCTTTTGACAGGCGCCTTTCCCTGTTAATCCTGGTTTAATCAGGGTCCTTTTTTTAATCTAGGAAAGGAGCCTGCTGCAAGAGGAACAATTCAGATAGGGCTCCGGGCATATATTTCCTTATCTATAGCAGGCAGAGTTTGACACAGCTCAGCTGCTGAAACCATTGGAGCAGAGGGGGTTCCTTCAATAAAATTCCAGACTTCTGTATCTTCCCTGATTGGAAATAGCTTAGTGATGGGCTTCAACTAAGCTCACAAATATGAACATGTCCAAACTTTGAGCAGAACTCAGATTAAATCTCTTTTGCTAAACTTCTTCATTTTGGCCACATCACTGATGACTTGACTACTACTGCTCTGGATTCTGGGGGCACTCTGGGGTCCAAGAGGGGGTCTTTTCTAGAGACATGAACCAATTATCTCAGACTGGTACATCTAAAGATGGCTAAGAACAGTCCGCTGACTATAATTTTGTGCGGTGTCCACACTGGCACAGTTCAGACAATATTAGTCACAAAGCATTCAGGATCCATATCCTACAATGTCCAGCTCCTCTGAGAATATATTCAAACGTATCATGCAGAATAACCAATGCCCCTGAAAAAGCCCAGAAATCAGGCCATTTAAGCTGGTAAACTAATTCTGATCTTGCTCTTGATATGTTCCTTTTGATGGGCAATATTGTATGTGGATTCATCGCACCTAGCATTCACCAAACATAAGTGAGGCAACTAACCAAAACTGCTGCTCCAGGTTTTCTCCCACTTACCCTACTGACCTGGTTTAGGACAGGAACAACCCCCTGAGTTGCCCAAACTCTCTCCACTGGCTCAGGAGAGACAGAGACAACCAATTTAGATTTTTATTTATTTATTTATTACAGTAAGGCTAGATGATAGCCAAAATGACTGGCCTACAAACAGTGTACAAATTTCAACAAGGTTGATCTCTGTTGTCTAGAATAAACTTGATTGCTTAAGATTCCAACCCCAGAGAAACTCCTCCCTGGTGAAACACTGTTTTGTCACTAGATAATAGGAAGCACTAATTATTGTAATCCTTTCACTTGCAAGAGTTTTCTCATGCCTTCAATTCCTGCGTAAGGAAGACATGTTCTATCAGCAAACTTTGTCTCCTGATCCAGTGGCCTGAGATGCTCGCTGAATTAGCAATCTCAAATTGTGGCATTGGTCATTTGAGGCAGCAAGTGAAAAACATTAAGAGCATGTGGAAGTTGGTGAGGGAGGGAGAAGCCGTTCAAGAGCGAGGAGAATTCAGCAGGACATAAAATACTCATTGCCCATTCTGCTTTCCCTTCATTTGGTAAACACATTCTTTACTGTTACAAAGAGGTTTAAAATACATGGTAATAACCAAAGCAAAAAATCAGGAGGGAAGTAATCTTGAAAGATCAGAAATGACACAGCTAACTAGAACCTACTTCCAATGAAGTTCATATGGGTGGGACTCCTCAGAGATGGACAATGTAACGTTACCAAGGCTCAACATAAATCCAAATTTTGCTTCTCCACAATTATTGCTACTTGCTTGTATTCTGAGGTGCCTTTACAGTGTCACACTGAGCCAAGAGTTTCCACTGTGCCTCTGTGGTAGGCACTGTATAGGCATGACACGCAGGGAAACACTCCTCACCCAGGCAGGAAACTATGCAACAGACTGTACGATGCCTGGTAAAAAAAGACAGACAAAATGGGGGACTGTGCTGTGGCAATGAAGGAGTTCACTGCTGCCTAGTAGAAGAGTCAGAGTCAAAACTACATCTCTGCTTCCCCAGAAAAGTTTAACTGGAGTTGTGGACCTAAAGCTTCCACCTTTGTTCCCTTCCCATTCACAGCTTTCAGCGATTCTTCCAGTAACTGATCCAAATATATCTCCGTTCAGGTCACCTTTCTGGGCTTGATTTCAGTGATGAAGTACGGTTTGGCAGTGGCAAAGTGGCAGACCTCTTAACAACCTTCTCTGAATCAATATTGTCCGTCTCACTCTTGGAGCGGGGAACTGAAAGCTGGGTTCTGCCTGTAGGATAAGTCAAATATAGGAATATTGGTGAACTGGATAGGAGGCAAATAAATACATGCTTTACATGCCCTTTCTGTTTAACAAATTACACAAGAAATGTGAATTACTTACTGTCCTCAGAATAGGAATAACGAGGAGAGTATGAATCAGAATCTTCATCTGAAAGACAAAAGCATTTTGCAAGTGAGCTGAAAACGCCCCAAAGAAGAAGCACCAGAGACTCTTTTCATTTCTTCTACTAATACATCGGCCATAATTTGAGTGATATGCCCAATACTTACCACAGGGAGAAGATCCTAAAAAAGAAAATCCCAATGAGGTTTAAATTGCATTTAAAAATAATTCCTAGATTAGATATAAATATTAATGTACTACTTACACTAATACCTTTCTCCAGGCTCTCAAAGCACTTTAGAAAACAATCACTTTTTATCAAAAAACTCCTCTACAGCAAGGGTTATTAGATCCACTTTATCAAAAGCTGAAAGATAAATTGACGATTTAAAAGCCGTGGTATATGCCTAAAATAACTCATTAGGTGCTAGACACAGTAATAGAGCTGAGGAGTCCTGCTCTCAATCACATACGATAATCGTTTGGACATCCTCCTTGTATTAATTTGCACACCAAGTTGAAGTATGTTCACTGACTCAGATTATCTTTTAAGCTCAGATAACGTTCCTGGCACGAGACACACATGTATACTTGTACCAAGAGACTGTCCTTGTTCTGAAGAGCTTACTTTTCAAATAGGAAAGACGTGTCTGTAGGATGCAATAGAGATATTCAAGCAGCTCTAAAAGAGCTAACAATGACATCAGTGTAACTGAGTGGTGCGGTCTGGCCCCCAAGCTGAACAACCTTCTCTCTTTGACAGTGGAAGTGTTACACTGCATCAACACAGCAATGTTGTTCCCAGGACACAACTGCTGCCTTGGGCTGTGGAACCACATACTGCTTTACTCAAGGATAACATGGTACTGAAGCGGGCAAGGCAGACGTGCCCCAAAAGAAGGTGGCACATCTAATGGCATCATTACCACTCCCCACTCTACAGGTGGTGCCCAGAGAGACTTTGACTTGATCAAAAAGCTAGCGGTATCTTTCCACCATCTTCAACAGGCTCTGGAATGAATCCTCAATGAACTGCAGGTAGTAGCAGGGTGAGTTGGGATCGGACCCGGAAACTGGACCCACAGGCCCATCACCTTTCACTGCTGAGGAGGGTTCAAGCTTGCCAGGAGGTATACATGAGACATCTACAGGACTTCCAAGGGGAAATGCAGGAAAGTACAATGCAATGGCTGCAAAGGTTTTACTAATACCTCTGTGAAGAAGCCACTAAAAGTGACAGAGATAAAAAGACAGAAAAACCAAATAGATGAAGCTAGAATAAGCTAGATAAAGAAAGAACACGCTCAGAAAGTGTTATGTGAATTCAGTGATGCCGATCAACAGATTGAAACAATTTCCAGCTCTTCTCTCAAGGAGGACATCGATCAGCTGCTACAGCCAATCTCGTCTGCTGGAAAAAACAATCTGGCTAACACAGCTGACCTGAAATTGCACTCAAGGCTTAATCAAGCCTTTCAGGAAGGCACAAAAGAGTCTTAACTTTTAGCCCCTCTGCTGAGTTCTCTCGGTGAATGAATTAGAAGGTTTAAGTTCCAAACAGATGGTTATTGACTCTGGTGTGCTTATCATAACCTTCAGGTAAAAAAAAAAGCTAAGGTCAATTTTCAGGCCAATTCCTATATTTTAAACCTAAATGAAAGAAAACAAATATTTATTTATTTAATGTTATTACACTGAATTGTTGACAAAATTGACTGGTATTCCTATATAAAAGATGGGTTTATTCAGATAGCAAAATACTTGGTAAATCACAAAACTCTCTGTCCCTACAAATACAGAAGAACAAATGTTTAAAACCATCTTCACAGCCATTCACCTCTCATAGTATTATTTAGTGCTGGTGAACAATGAAAGAATGGATTTACTTACTTGAAGAGAAATGTCAATATTCATTATAGCTCATCATTCAGACAGGAAAACCATACAGGAAAAAAAAATGACTGCAGGTAAGTGCTATTTTCCAATTGCTAATATTCTACTATCTACAATAATAAGGAGAACAGGTAAGTTTTGTCTCTTCGAGTATCTTATGAAGAAGAGTGTGTACATTTCTTCCCTTTTTGAGGCAGGGAATACTGAAACTCAGAAATCTGGAATGACTTGATTAAGATTAAAGACTAAATCAGAGATGGGCATTCAAACAAGATCTCCTGGCCCTCAGAGCTTCATTTTATCTATGGGACCCTCCTTAAAGTATCACCAATTTGTAGTTTCAAAATCTGATTCCTTTAGCGAGAAGAGGCTGTTCCCCTGTAGTTCCTAGAGAATCTGCAGATTTTTTTTTTTTAAAGGGTTGGCCAAAATCTCTACATTTCAATACCCTTAGACTCTAAAAGTATTTTAGAGAAGAGCCCAAATCTTGATGTTTCTAGGAGATCCTATGCATCAGTCCAAAGCAAAAAACTCTGACACTGGTTGTATGAAATTGAGGCTTCAATCATCTCTGTATAAACACTTTGCAGTTGAGTACATAACTTTGAAATGTTTTCTAAACGTGAAACATGCACTCCAACCCATCTACATCATCAGATAGTCCGGATTCCTTATCAAGGAAAGAATTCAAGCAGATGTTAGAGAAACATTTCCCAACATATTGAGAATAAAGAGCAAGTGTTCGGTCCAATAAAATCTCAACTACCTAAACCAGCAAATTATTTTCATACGCACTTTTGTAAGTGCATAGGGGACATTTATGGGAAACCAGACTTGATCACCGTTGGTTTTGCAAACTACGTTAGTTCCGACAACAGCAAAATGGATTTTCAAACTTCATTACAAGCAAGAAAATTGAATCTCTGTAGAACTCCTTCATCAACTAGTTATTGAGACTCTTTGTTTCTGTCTCATCTATACCCACGTACCATTCTGCCAATAGAAAATAATTTACATGGCATTATGATTTGCAAGACAGGACTCCACCTACAGGTTTTACCAAGAAATGAGCAAGTATCATAGATACCTGTATGACACTAGTCCACATTCATTTAACAGTGAAATCCACCTTACATCTCCTAATCTTCTTTGAGCATCTCAGCTAGAACCCATATCGTATGCTTTCTTCTTACACAGTACCCACCAGATGTTTAATACAAACGTTGAATGAAATGGTTAATTAATAGTCTCACCAGGGTTGGCGTGAGGCACAGGCTAAGTAGGCAAGTCCCTAAACTGCAGGATCTAAAGTGATACCAAAGCACCAAGCCAACAAGGCTGTCACCAACAACAGCTTCCCAATCAGGAAATGTCTGTATGTCCAATGTGCGCAGCGGATTCCAGTGTTTCTCATATATAGGTGTTTTCATGCATATGCACACAGTTACAGGATTATCACTGCAATAGATACTATTTCACCATCCCTGAAACATGACTGCAAAGGATTCTGGTTTGTACATGAAGTTTAAAGGAATCTGCTGAGGACATGAAGAGGATAAGACAGTGTTATTTCAAGTTCCAAGATGTGCTGACGAGACTGTCGTAACTCTGTCCTTGCCTAGATATGCCAAGTGCACCTAAGGCCAGCCCTGAAACCTATGTTACCAAGTTATATTTATTTTAAAAGACTATATTGAGGGACTGATCCAAAACCCACTGAAGCAAGCAGCCTTTTTACCAACAGACTTCAGTGGCATTTTGGGTCTGACCCTAATACTGTGTTAATATTCAAACCAGAAGTAAATAATTAAAGAAATGTATTGATCCGAAAGGGGGGTGGGAGAAATCTCAGTTAAACCACACCTTTACACGTAAGTCAGCATTCTAGGCTTGTTAAATAGTCACTGCACACCCATGGCTAAATACAACTGATAAGCGCATAAAACCAAGCAAACCCCAAGTCTGTAGCATTAGTCAAATACTAGTTACAAAGCCAGAGGAGCACTGCAAAGCCAAAAAGGCATCATACAGTCAAGGCAATGCTTAGAGTGCAGCAAATCATTATGAGGCAGCATAATGCTCAGCAACTAGAAAAAACTCCAGGAAGAAAATAAATGGATAAGGCAGCATTTGTGCAGAAAAATATATATGGTCCTTTATTATTACCTTCAGAGATAGGACTAGGAGTAGACGCAGGAAACTGGTATGTAGGAGAATAAGGATTGTCTTCTGCAGCAGAGAAAAGCAGTGGATTTTGAGACTATCCACAGTGAAGTGGAGGTTCTGCTTCATCCCCCAATTTCCTATCACCGTATGATTTTACTGCCTACTTTAATAATACTAGAATAAATGGCATCATACTTTAAAAAAAGATTAATGGATTAGCAAAGATTTAGTTATTTTATGCACCACACAAGAAAGTATACTGGGCATAACTGAATTTCCAGCCAGTGTAACACATGGGTGACAGAAATCTAGAACCTGAATCTAGTTACTATTAGGGTGCTATAGTACAGTTAACTCAAAGCACAAGACAACAGATACTCTGACTAAACTTCTGGTACCTTCAGTTTTTTGCTGGATTTCAGGAAGTTCAGGAAATATGTAGGTAGGGCAATAAGGGTTTTCTTCAGGAGTGTCTAAGGAGAGGAACATGATTTGCAAAAAAGAACAGAAAGGACAGATTTAAAGGGGAAGAAGGGCAAGACGAGAATCCATACAAGCTGCAGAACAGCCCCTCTCGTGCTGATGTTCTAGCATGACACAACCTAGACACCTCTTTGTTCATTGCTGCCTTGCATATCTGGGCCCTGCGAGAGATCCTGGAAGCGGAGGGGACTGAACTCATTCTCCTTCTTCTGAAGCGTGGGCTCTGGCTGAGCTGAAGAACCTCACTAATCCCAAGAGTGCTCCCAGGAGCACTGGGATTAGGAAACAGTTCAACTCCTTCTCATTCCATCCAATACAACACAGCATCTATATATGCATAAAGCTCATCATGACAGCACCTGCAGCAGCAAATACAGCTCCAGTTTTGCATGCTCTATGTTTTATTATATAAGCGCAGTTCTGAATTGCATTTGCCTGCACGTCAGGCTGTTCAGAGGGTTCAGTTTGCAAATGCTACTGCAGCCATTTCTCACACAGAACAACAAACGTGAATGTATCAGCAGCCAGGCACAGAAGTGCCCCAAAGTAGGGGCTTCCCTGAGAGTGCACCACTACGAAGTTTGCAAGTGCTCGCCACAATTTTAGGTTTTGAAAGGAGAAAATTTGAGGTTTTGAAAAAGCAGAGTTCAGATTCTGAACTCACCAAAAATCAACGGAAACCTTTCCATTCGTTTCAGTGAGCTTCAAATCAAGCTTTATTATGCAGGTACTAAAGCTTTACAGTGTAAAAACTTTTCTCTTATGCACAGAGCAGTTTCAGTGATAACCTGCTATCCTTTAAAAGGGGGGGGGGGTGTTAGCTGCTAAAACTGGAGTTCAGGGATCTATTTTCTTTAAGTATGGAATTATTAGCAGCTTTCTGATCTCAAATAGTAGTCTTGATTTCATGAGGGCACTGCAGTTCACCTTTCAGAACAACTCAGATCTTTCTTTGGACTTCATTGTCCTCTCATCTTTGACTTCAGAGATTTCAAATACATTGGTTGAGTGGTGCAGAGCAATAAAAAGCTTCTATTTAACATCCAGTACAATTCTTCACATGAACAAAACAAAATGTTATCAAAGTGGTCTTTTAAAGTAAACAAAAAACATCTGTGTTACAGTACCTCTATTTAGCTTGTGGATCTGTTTGAACATCGTCTTGTACCAGTCCTTCGATCTGTCTGTATTCTATTGGAAAAATAAATATACACATAAATCATAGAATCTTAGGATAGCAGGTTGGAAGGGACGTCAAGGATCACCTGGTCCAACCTTTCTTGGCAAAAGCACGGTCTAGACAAGATGGCCCAGCACCCTGTCCAGCTGAATCTTAAAACTGTCCCATGTTGGGGAATCCACCACTTCCCTGGGGAGATTATTCCGATGGCAGATTGTTCTCGTTGTGAAAAATTTTCCTCGTGTCCAATCGGAATCTCCCCAGGAGTAACTTGTACCCATTACCCCTTGTCTTTTCCATGTGACTCCTTGAAAAAAGGGAGTCTCCATCTTCTTTGTAGCCACCCTTTAAATACTGGAACATGGTGATAAGGTCTCCCCTAAGCCTTCTTTTCTCAAGGCTGAACAAACCCAGTTCTCTCAGCCTTTCCTCATATAGCAGGCTTCCCAGTCCTTTGATCATCTTTGTGGCCCTTCTCTGGACCCTCTCCAGCCTGTCCACATCTTTTTTGTATAGCAGGGACCAAAACTGAACACAGCATTCCAAATAATCACAACCATAAATTCTACCAGCCTTTCAAAGTTCTTATGAATCTTCCAGCAATGAAAAAGGTTTACGCTCTGCTTCCTATTTCATTTATTATCACTGACTACCTGAAAATCAAGGCTGTATGAAATTAATACTTTGAAACATGGGTGATTTCACTCCTAAATAATCTCATATGTAATGAAGCTACAGGCTTCACTCAAGTTACTAATAATGTACAAGCTTTGCAGGGATACGTTGTAACCTGTGTAGAACTGTGGATTGTGTGGAAGGTTTTGCGTATCAATCTGATTTGACATCTAAAAGTAGACACCTTGCTTATTTTAGTCATACATACCGATTTCCTAAGCGTTCAATGGACAGTTAGAACCATTTAGTGTTCAAGTCACTCCACTGCTAGTTGTAAGAATAGGCTAATAATTCTTTCCATTATAATTTCGCCTCAACACTGAATGAACTTAAATGTGTTATATAAAAGGTATCTGCCTTTATGATGTCTAAAACGAGACAAAACTTTCCCTTAGCTGCTAGGTGTGAATGAAACAGAAGAGCAGAAAACAGTATTCTCACATATGATGAAGAGAGATATTAACTTAATTTTCCCCCCCTGAGGCAGCTGAAACAGGTCATTGCTAGCAAAGGGAAGTGTTCATAATAAAATATGTTGGAACTAGAATTCTATCTTCCCTTAAATCTCTGCAGTCTCTGGAGCTTTAGTGAATTCCCTGAGTCCCAAGGTAGGCAGAATTTGGCCCAGATTTTGTGTTGTCTTACCCTCAGTGGAATGCCAATATCATCGATGGAGGTATCAGCCATGTGCTGCGGGCTCTTGACAATGCTTCTCTTCTCCTCCATTGCCCTCTTCTCACTTGGCACTGTCTCCTGAACCGGCTTGTCCTGTATGAGTGCTGAATCAACTTTATCAGAAACTAGTCTGTCTGGCACTGAATCTGGAAATGAAAATGGGGGATTCTTATCTCATCCCAGCACTTCACCACATCACCATATTCCACTCTTTTAGGGCAAAAATACTAGCAAGTAGTTGATGAGACAGACTGTGTCGCTGCTAGCTGTGGTTAGCATCTGGACTGAAGGAAATCTACCAAGAAAACGTTTGATGCCAGCAAAAGCAGGCTAGCATCTCTCAGGTAGCCACCTTCACACATCTCATGACAGTCTCAGCTGTCATGCATGTAAGACAATGGAAAATTTTGGTTTCAAGGACTGTTTGGGGGTTGGTTTTTTCTGTTTGACTAATTAGCGACTCCGCAATCTCATTCTTCATCAAAAAGCATCAGTGATACAGATAGACATATTTTTCTGCTGGTGATTTCAATCTAAAGGAGCATCCTACATGGTAGCGGGGCACTACTTTTTAACAGCTTGCACTCACCTGCCTGAAAATCCCATTTGTTACAGTCAGTATATGATGCTTCCAAATTAATCTCTGTGCTCTAACCAGAGTTTGTAAACAACAAATTATACTGTTGTTTAGCATATGTATGATTCCTCTTGCACATAAGTCTGCATAAAGATGGGGGGAAAGTAATAATTGCTCCAGACCACCTTGCTTCCACCTGGAATTCCTTGACACTGCCTGACACCCACATGTAGCAGCAGGCACCACCACCACCACCACTGGCCAAGAAACCAAGGGAGCTCAGTCGGCTCTGAAGCTCTACTATGTTCTGGAGAGCTGCAGCACAGCAACCCTTAGGCTCTGCTGAGGACTTTTTCTATGTGGATTTTCTGGAGAGGAAACATCTGTGATTTTACAGTCTGCCTCATCAAGACTACGTCACGTCTGATCCTTTTTACATCACCACATGCATTGAAAAGAGAGAGAGAGAGATGTTTATTCACATGCACATCACCATACTGCCCAAAGCCATTAAATGTGCAGAAATCTGAAAGGCACACTTAGCAGAGGAAAGGCTCGTGCATAACAAAGCATCGGTCTGTTGGTACCTTGAGCAAACACAATTCTGCCCTGCGAAATTCAGCATGTGAAGGATTTGTGTTTGAGTGGTCGGTTTGAAATTACCATCAAACTTTAAGTCTTCCTCCTCTTTAAGAAAAATGAAATAATGTTTTTAAATGTTCAAAATGCGGCAAAGCATCTATTAAATCCTCGTTTAGCATTTTCATCCTGTTTCCCCTCCCTGTGAATGTGTGTGCACTGTCTTTTGTTCCTTTCGTGTCCCTGGTGTACGGGGCTCTCCATTTTGTAGAAAGTATTTGGTCCGTTTCCATTACTAAACTCCTTACCAAGCCTCTAGAAACAGAGCATGGAAAGAGCAACAGAAACTAGACCATTTTTCCATCACCTTGAAGACTAAAAGGAAGCAGGTTTTTGGATATGGATGAGGATGTGGAGAGGATGCAAACTTTAGGAAAAGTCACAGCTTTCCTCCATTACTTATCATCGTCACTGCTGATGTTACAAGTCCTGAGCTTCTGGTCTAGAAAAGTCATTATTTTCTGCAGGCTAAAGAATTCAATGCCAGAGAAGGTCACAAAGTCATTTTTTAACAGGACTGGTAAATACATATTATTTTTCTTTGATTCCCTAGCTCCCTGCACTGGAAAAGTCGTTGGCTGTTTACCAGGTAGACCCCATCTGAAACTATGATGATGATCTTCAAAATGCCTAATATAAATGTAAACAACAGGGTAAATGTATCACAATCTGACTTCCCAGTGCCACAGCCATGATCTAAGCAAAATCTTTATTTTGATGATTTAGCAAAAATAAAAACCACCATCTAGCCTGTGCCAGCCATCTCCCAACTATGAATTCACATCTTTAATATTATAACATGAAGGTCTGGGAGCTATCTAGGATGGCATAGCCAGGGGGGAAATCTACCAGCCAGTTAAACGTATTTTGAAGGAGTTTTCAGAAGTATTTTTTTGGAGTGCACTTAGAACTGGTTGAAGGTGCTGGACTGACAACCCTGGAGACAGGAAAGGCCTGTCTGACAGTACGAGTTGTATTAGGGCAAGCCCTCCCTGTGCACCCTGCCAGGTTCCTAGGTCCATAGGACTCAGCCAAGAGGACCACCTTAGCCTCTTCCAGTTTGGCTGCTCAGCTGATACTGCAAACACAGACACCTGCTGCACGGGTGTCTTTGCAGAGGGAGGAACTAAAGAAGACATCTTTCACCACATATTTCCTACAGTACCCTACAACTTAGAGAATAACAGCTAAACTTCACACTGACTTATTTGCCATGCAGCTCCAATGATTTCAAAAGAGTTTATGGAGGTATATACCAGGCTTTGAGGTATTTAAAAATCAGAGAGCCAAATCTGGTGCCTAATCGCCCAAATAACCAGGTTACACCAGTCAGCACGCTCCATGGCACCTGAGCCATCCTTTTGCAAGAGCAGCAGCAATATATGGGGTTGCACAGCAAAAGAGTTTTACTGCTGTGACCAAGAGGACATAAAAAGCAGAGGGAGAGGTGGCAGCCAGCAGCTTTGTGTGGTTGTTTTGGTACACTGAGAGCAGGTGCAGACCACCCAGCTGTGCCACAACAGGCTTCACTCTTCCAGACCAAGGATCATTTAGAATCATAGAATCATTTAGGTTGGAAAAGACCTTTAAGATCATCAAGTCCAACCGTTAACCTAGCACTGCCAAGTCCACCACTAAACCATGTCCCTAAGCACCACCTCTACATGTCTTTTAAATACTTCCAGCGGTGGTGACTCAACCACTTCCCTGGGCAGCCTGTTCCAATGCTTGACAACCCTTTCGGTCAAGAATTCTTTCCTAATATCCACTCTAAACCTCCCCTGGCACAACTTGAGGCCATTTCCTCTCGTCCTATTGCTTGTTACTTGGGAGAAGAGACCGACCCCCACCTCGCTACAACCTCCTTTCAGGTAGTTGTAGAGAGCAATGAGGTCTCCCCTCAGCCTCTCCTTTTCTCCAGGCTGAACAACCCCAGTTCCCTCAGCCGCTCCTCATCAGACTTGTTCTCCAGACCCCTCACCAGCCTCGTTGCCCTTCTCTGGACACGCTCCAGCACCTCAGTGTCTTTCTTGTAGTGAGGGGCCCAAAACTGAACACAGTATTCAAGCCTGTGCAGCCTCACCAGTGCCGAGTACAGGGGCACGATCACTTCCCTACTCCTGCTGGCCACACTATTTCTGATACAGGCCAGGATGCCATTGGCCTTCTTGGCTGCCTGGGCACACTGCCGGCTCATGTTCAGCCGGCTGGCTACCAGCACCCCCAGGCCCTTTTCCGCCAGGCAGCTTTCCAGCCACTCTTCCCCAAGCCCGTAGCGCTGCATGGGGTTGCTGTGACCCAAGTGCAGGACCCGGCACTTGGCCTTGTTAAACCTCATACAGTTGGCCTAGGCCCATCGATCCAGCCTGTCCAGGTCCCTCTGCAGAGCCTTCCCACCCTCGAGCAGATCAACACTCCTGCCCAGCTTCGTGTCATCTGCAATCTTGCTGAGGGTGCACTCGATCCCCTTGTCCAGATCATTGATAAAGATATTTGGGCTTTAACAAACTGCTCTGTGGCTATCTCTAGTTCAGAAAACAAAGGAGTTCCTGATAACGAAGGGAAACACCTTGCAAAAGGGAAAACCAACAGGAAACCTCTGTCCGGACTTGCAGGCAAGCATTAAACTCGCAGCTGAGTGGTGTTCGATGAGACAACACCTACACTAAGGGAAAGAGCTGAGCGAAACCGCTGTAAGCTGTTATGCAGCCTGTCACCTCAGCAGGGTGGCAGCAGAGAGGAGGGACAGGCTGGTGTCACAGCTGAAGGAACCTGGTGGATGAAGTCAGACCAGGTCAGCAGCTGCCTCACGGGCAGATGCTGTCCTCATGGGACACGCTCCGCTAGCCCAGGGCCCACGCAGCAGAGCAAGAGCACACAGTATTGGCTTCCCTGTGTTTCTATTTGTGGTATTTAAAGTACTTAGGCACTCTCCGTGACTCTCTTCTCTCCCACCTCTCCATTTACCCCGCAATGGCCATAAACAAAGAATAATAATATGAGTAAGAGGTGTATATGCACTGTTCCTATAACACCTACTGCAGACTGAGCTACTGCTATTTGGGGTGTGGGGAGGGAAAGATGACCAGGAAAACAACTTGCTCTTCTTTCAAGGAGAGACTGTCACACCCGTTGGAAGAGCAGAGAGCTGCTTGGGGAGAGTAGGGTGGCAGCACACATGCATACTTGCACACTACAATTTTATCATCTACTTCTTGACATCTGGCACAAATACTTCTGCTCTTGGAGTCATGTAAATACTGATTTTTATTTCTCTTCCCCTCTCCTCACCACAAGCAAGACTAACTCTAATGGCTATGTAAAGAAACTTGAGAATATGCCCCAAGAGAATAAATCTAAAGGCTCAAAAGGCAGCCCCAAAAGTCAACTAGAACAATCAAACTGTATGTAAATCCTATGACTTAGGAGGAACAGATGAGAAATTTAGGGTTTTGGTATATTAACATGTAGCCACACAGGTAACATTTGGAGAAAAGATTGAAATCAAACATTCAGTGACCTGGACTAAGCCAGGACAAACATTTATACTAATTCCTTTGCAGTTCCTGGGAAGTGTGTTTGCTAAAGGTACTTCACAAGCTAACAAAGCAGCAGCTTTGCTCCAGCAGAGGCAGCAGTTGGGGGGTAGCAGACCTTTCACATCATACCTGCCAGGCTACTAAGCCTTTTTTGCTGTTCTGTGGTAAAGGAAGAAACAAAACAAAAAGAAATACAGAACAAATGGGTGAGACATAAACAGCAAGTGCTCTGGTGCTGCATTTCTGACAGGCAAGAAATACGCTGTAGACAGAACAGCAGCAGCTGCTGGAGAGAATCTGTTTTCAAATACCCTGCCAAAGTGACAGCCCACAGTCCCTTCTCCACACAGCAGCCTCGTGGAATAATATAAATCTCATGATGCAGTGACCGATACATTTGCAAAGAGCATTTTTTTTTTTTAATTTTTAATTTTTTCTTAACATCAGAGAGTGAAAAAAGTTGGACAGGAGACAATTTGAAAAACAGTAGAGACTCACAGAGTCAAACAACTTGACAACTAACTGTTACCATTAGCATGAAGTACATTTTGAAACAATGCTGTAGCATTTTGAAGGGATATAGGAAAGGATTGAGTCGTTGGTGCTTGCTGAGTCTCATCACATACTACAAAGCCGCAGATTCAGTGATTTGCGCACAGACACAGCTTGGTTAAGACTTTGATTCTCAGAATGGTCCCCTCGGTTTAGGGCCTTTCATTACTGAGTTCTCAGACTGGGACGTTTGTGGTATCTTCCAGCGTATTTGACCACCCTAAAGCTGATGCTCACAGCTGCTTTCTAAAGGGATGCCCAAATGACTTGCCCAAGTCACGGCTGGGAATAAAGCAAGAACATCCAAAGATTCAAAACTTTAATATATTAATCACACCTGTTAAATATTCATAATAAACCATGCCATGCAATGCCTGCCCAGGAAATAACTGTACTTTGGGGTGGCGTGGGACACTTGCCAAGCAAGTCTGCAGTAGGTAACAATCCTCCAGGTATATGCTGTTTGCTAGCAGAACCCACCTTCACTAGATATTTGTACTAAGTGGATCATCTCAGCAAGAGAGACCCATATTTCTCCTCACTAAGTGCAGCTCCCTCACCAATACCTATGAACTTTGTTCTTTAACCCCAGCACTTCTGCTCTGCCAACCACCGATGGCAAGCTGCTAGTGTGCATTATGCTCATGTGATAGCTGCCAACATATGAAACAAACCCCTACGTGCAATGGGTAAAAGGAAAGGTTAGCAATCTGAACCTGAAAAGTAGATGGGAACCACCTGCTGCAGGGTTCACTCTTCTAAGCAGGCCATCAGGAGCAGGCTGCTGTATTACGAGAAAGGAGAGAAGATGCGAGTGAGGATGGTCTCAGCTTCAGCCATCACCTTCACTGAGGAGAATTGCATTAAATGACTAAGGTCTCCTGACAAAAACACGTGGTTTAAAGAGTTGATGCTTGAGAACTCTTTCCTATCTCTTCTTCCACAGGGGAGAGAATATCATGGATGAATAGACTTTTCACGAAAAAAAAAGGTTTCCTTTTCACTTATGTCTCTGAGTAGGAAAGAGAGCTGCTGATGGATAGAAGTGGAAGGAGCAGGAGGTGTCTGCTATTTCACTCTTCTGCCTGACTGGAGCCAGCTTGCAGCCCCAGGCACACACCAGCTAACTGAGGCTTTCACCCTTGATCTTGTGTTCTGGGACTGTAAGCAAAGGCCAAAAACTTGTAGGCTTCTCAGAGAAAGGGTCAAGCAGAGGCATATAACTGCTGGTAACAGTGAAGGAATGATTATAGATGCCTTCAGAGTTCCCAGAGGGGGGAGCACTGGAGGAGACTAAGACTCCAGGAAACTAAGAAACCAGTAACAAAAGGGGAAGAGGAAACAAGTATTTGAGTGTACGTTTAGTGCAAAATAAAGGTGTCAAAAAGAAAATTAATCAAGACACCAACAGATATGAAGAGAAGAAATTCTTACCTTGGTGCTAGGAATGAACAAGAGGATCTGAAGAACTTGTTTATAACCGTAAATCTTATTCAGTTGGTGTTACTGAAATCCAGTAGAAAAAATTCTGAGATCTCTCATCACAACTTACTGAGTAAGATCAAGCAGACAAAAAAAGGATACAGTGCAGTTTCCGTGCTTGAAATGCCATTACCTGTTTCTAAGTCTCTGATAGCTTAGAATCAAAGGGTCTTACGTGCTTACAGATTAATGAACTAGCAGATAAAGCCTAAAATAGGACGGTAGGTGATGTCTGCCTACAACAGTCACTCCAGAGAAGAAGGGAACCAGCTCCTTAAAAAGCAATCAATAATCCACTGAGGAGAAAGAAAGCCACATTATCCATTTGGAAGACAAACTAAACTACTGGAGATCTCAGACTGCCAGCATTAAAATGACCTTGAAATTTCTAAGTCAGAGGGTATTTCATAGCACACAAGAGGAATTTATATTAAACCTCATCTTGACATGAAGGAATTGATTTCAGCACAAAACATAATTAACCATTCAGGGGAAGGTGGATCATAACCTAGTAACAATCTGTTATATGCCATGAGACCAAACCAGTTTTGAATAGATAAGGTCCATAAAGATGAAACCAAATATGAGTCATGTCAGCCAGCACAGAAATGTAATAGGTATCTAAGATCTGAGAACCATTTAAAAACACTAAGTTAGCAAAAAGAAATCTTAATGCTATGCTGGGATAAAGCCTAGATAGCAATGGAAGCATAAGGAACTGCAAGAAACTCCCAACACATAAAAAGATGGAAAACTAAGAAAATTTATACCTATGAGTAGGTAACATATGCTGGGAAGTGAAAGAAAATGACAATGGAAGTAAAAGAATTAACAGAATGTCTCAAGGACTCAAAAATAGGTTTTGAGGTACATGAAGAATAAACAGAAACCTAGCAACGATCTTGTTCTTTTAGCAAATAGGCCCAGTGGAACTGTTAATAAGAGGGCAGAAAAGATGACACATCTAATTACTATTTCCATTCTGCATTGGGGGGGAGGGGGGGAGAAAAAAGAAAAAAAAAGTCTGACATCCTGATGGAGAAACACTTTCCACTTCAACAGTAACTAAGGGCTATGCTGAATGACAACAACTGAGGTCAGATGCTTGAAAATTAGCACGTCCATGTAAACTGTACTGAAGAGTTTTAGAGCAGTTTTCTGCTCTAAAGAGAGCAGTTATGGAGAGAGCAGATCACTGGACCATTAACATTCATCCTCAGTATGTCTTGGAATACAAAGAAAACTCCACAGGACAAGGAAGAAAGCAAATGTTGTGACAACCTTCCAAAAGCATTAGTGTGATGGCTGGGACATCTGTCTGTCAAGTCGACAATAATGCCAGAAAAAAAATATTGTAATGACTTATATGGGATTTTACTAATAAATACATAATATGACACATGCAATGTCAGTCAGTACAGATTTATGACTAAGATGCCTTGTCAAACCAGTTCAATATGATTCTTGCAAATTACAAGTTTGACCAATAAAGACTGAAAATCACGCATTAGAATGAGATACTTCACGGACTCGATCAAGTTGCTTATCAGGCCATGATCTATATCACAGTCAACAAAAATGTGATGAGAGAAGTCTCTTCAATCTATCAGGATACAGTATCATGAGTGCTAACGGTCAGAGGTAAGACATATTTGGACAGGACAAATTGTTAACTGTGAAGGTAATTAGTAAACAGCACAATTTGACATCAGTTGTCTCAGAGCCAGTGTGTGTGTGTATCATCATATACAGATTTGTCCCTCGTGCTCTTAAAATCTAGAGAGAAAATATCCTTGTGTGGTACACACTGAAATGCTCCAGATTTAATGTGAAAACCAACCAAAAGAGTATCCCACCTCAGAAAGTAAACAAAAAGCTTTGAGATAAAAAAGGCTGCCTCAAATAATATTTTCTCCTCTTGAAGCAATTGAGGAATCCAGACACCCTCATTCAGAAGCACATAAGCAAAGCTGCTTCAGATGCTGGCAAAAAGGAAGAGATAACCCACTTGTTACCCCTATAATCAGCTAGGCTACAGTGAGGACACTATCTTCAGGATCAAAGACTGAAGTCTGTTTTAAAAAGGCACTGAAAAAAAATACACGAGGGGCTGCAAAGGACCACATCAACGCACGCCTGTCATTAGAACGACTACAATACAAGGAGTGCAGGCCTTGCCTCTATGTTCTATTTTTTTTTTTCTTTGCAAAAGGTAAGTCGTAGCATTGTAGATTGGAATCTGCCTGTCCTGGAGTTTCCTAAGTCCACTGGAAACCAAGGCAAATTGGACTGCATCTGTGTGGCCCTTTACAAGCTACAGTCTTTAGGGATGCACAGTGAACTGGGAGGCTGGGGTAATGCCAGCCATCAGGAGAACTGAAAAGGAGAAGCAAAGTTTCCCTCTAATGCGAGAGGTAAAGAGATGCAATTATCCATTCAGGTGGAGCTGCTGTGAGGCAGAGAAAGGCTTAGATTAGCAAACATGGGAGTCCTCAAACAAGGTTGTTTCGTTTATGTGCAAACCCAGAGCTCAAGGACTACTGCAGTATGAGTCTGAGTTGATCCAGTTATGGATAGAGGAACAAATTGCCAAGTTCAAACTTAAGGGCAAACGGGTTATTTACTATTGGGTAAATTCTGCTGAGAATTCAGAGGTCAAATCTCTCCCACAGTAACTGAAAATACAGCTGCTTTCACATTGCAGTATCTGAGAAGTAACATATCCCCTTTTCCAGTGAGGGAGAACCTACCTCAAGCTACCTTGCTTCTACTGACAAATAGATGCAAGCATACACGCTTTTCCACCATGACAGGACACCTGATGAGGGATAAGCTGTTACCCTGCAATAACTTATTCATATGTCCATAGCCCAGTTATAAGCCTCTCCCCCAACTTCAGAGTGGCTTCTGATCCACAGGTTTTAATTAGAAAAAGTAGGCATTGTCCCACACCTCTAACCTCTTACTTGCCTGTTGTATGCTCCAGGCACTACAACTTTCTGGAGGCAGCTTTGTTAGCTCTTAGTAGTCTGGACTTAATTGTCCACGACACACACATTCTCCAGTTCCTTGTAGCATAACAGGTTGCTCAGTGTGAGCCACAAGTATCTATATGCAAGTCTCCTTACCTCGATTGTGCTGCAAGAGGACAATAGTGGGATTGACGATTGTGGTAGAGGGATAGGCAGAGGAAGACTTGTTGATTGAAGTGAAGGAGGTTGGATAGTCAGTGCCAGTGCCAGGCTGGGGCACTTCATTTAGCACAGGACCTGGGTCCTGAAAAGGAGAGCAACACATCATTAGCAGCATGCAGAAAGCTGCTACACTGGGAAAATCTGGAAAAAAAAAAACATTTTAAGCTGAATGAGAAGCATAATCACAGCAAATTTTAGTAAAAAAAAGCATAAGCATGAGTGTTACCCTGCTCCTTGTACGTACCCTGCTCGTTGTTAATGCAATTAGTTTGCTAAGGCAGTACTATAATTACTTGGTGTTGGGTTTCACAACTCCAACCCCAAAAGGAGGCACTAAATTCATCCAGCAGACTCTCTGGAGCAAACACAGGGTGCCAGAAATGAGCAAATCTGGTTGGGGGGGGGAAGATGCAGACATCCTTCCCCTGATATGTACACACACAAACATTTGTTTTAAAAGTATTACTTTCATAGCAAGAAGTCAGACATGCAAAACATGCAATTCTGGAGTGAAACATTATTACTGCAGCTGATTTGGTAAGGAAGGTCCAAGGAATAAGGTTAGCACCATCACTCAGGAGACAGTGTGACACCTACCTGGTTAAAATAATGAAATAAAAAAACCCCAAACTGATAGAGGGTAAAAAGTAGGACTCTAGCAAGGAAGATACTCAACATGGCTTTGCCGCTGGAGCACAGACAGCAAGCTGCTCTTGCTCTCCCTAAAGCATCCAGCTCCATTATTTATTTCAAACCCACCTCTGGTATCACCACAGCTCTGGTTGTTCTGTAGAAATACAGGCTGTGTCAGCAGGAAGACTTTAAAAACTAGTTCATCTTCGAAAAATCTCAGTCCAGGGATACCGGGCTTTTGTCGGTAGTAACGGGAAAAGATAAAGAAGGGACGATGACTAAGACTGTGTGCACCAGTTTAGGCTGAGATTTTTCAAAGCTTCTTAAGGAATTTGGACACACAATTACTGGTAATGGGGAATGAGCATCCAGACAGAGTATGGAACAGCGTACCAGATTTCTGCACTCCTGCTACTCCACTGTCAGACTGAAACGCTACAGGCCACTGATCTGTAAAATGGAGCTGAGCATTCAGGGGGATTTTCATTGCTATTAAAAAAACCCTGAATATGCACAGAATATTGCTCCAGAAGAATCCCTACTCCTGGCTTTTCTGGCCAAGTGCAACTCAGTGCCCTTCATACCCACCAGCGTCAGGGGAAAGGACTTACAGGATCAGGCAGGGGGCTGAACAGGGGCCAGAGTGAGGCCTGGCACCAGAGCTCAGAGATAAATCATAGTGAGAATTGGCCTTAATCAGAACAAGCACCTACAGTCTCTCCAACCTAGAGGGGACACAGGGAAGAACAATCCTGTTCTGCAGGGTGGAGATGATCTTGCTCCAAGCAGCATCTGATCAGGCCATAGACATTTCATGAGGACAGAAAAGAATCAATGGTCTTCAGAAATAGATGTCCCCAAGAGAGAGACCCAGGCCCATTTTGCTGGCTGTGATAATATTCCAAACAATGCAATTCGGGAAAAGGAGCGGGAGAGTCAGGGAGAAGTATGAGAGAGTTGGGTTTGTGCTTCACTTTGATAACTAAAATATAAAGAACGCCTCAAAGAGGAGGGATGTCAGATCAGGATAGGCTCTGCAGCCCCATCTAAGTCACCAAAGTGGGTGAACAAAGACCATTTAAATCATTGTGAAAAACAGCTCTGTGACTTGCATGCCTGAGGTGAGCATGCCCAAAAATGTTTCAAAACTCTCATTTCATGAAAATCAGGTACAACAAAATTTCCGCTACTCCTCTATGATTTGGATGCCTGCTGAAGTTTTCTGGAGCCTGCAGATAGGCTCCATTAAAAAAAAACCTAAAACACAAACAAAACCCCCAAACTTTCATTGCTCTCTGCAGTAAAAAACCACTGATTTCAAAAGAAGCAGAAAGGCCAATGATGAGAATTTTTGAAACTATCAACCTTGGTTGTTTCCCCCCCCCCCCCCACCCCTCCGCCTCTCCCGCTCCTCA